ATTTCTTGTACGATTTCATGGTTAACAGTGCTTGTTACAGAGAAAAAATTTATTTCCATGTGATTGTTCAAAATTTTACTTAATATACCGATATCAGTTTTAATAATGCAGTGAAACAGTCACCAGCGCTTCTATTTTACTTTATGTGTATTCAATGTGGGATGACAGATAGTGTTTCGCGCATGATTAGTTTTCCCCATTTATCTCAAAACTTATTTTAACGACCATTTCTCGAAGAATCCTAACGGGTTAGTGTTTCAAATTAGTTAAACAGTACTTAAATACCTCTAACTCTTTCCTTCTTAATGCATAGAATAGTCTAGCCGAAGTTCCCAAAAGCTCAGTTATATAGCGCAAGACAAGCTGAATGTGAAAGTTGAGATGACTGTACAAAGAAACGATATCGAAATCTAACATTTTTTAATTTAATTTTAATTTATTAGCTTTGCCCCTAGTATGGGCAGGGACACTGAAATATCCATAATAACACGGGTGGGTTTTTACCTCTCGGAAGATGTAATCTAGTAAGCTTCTTGAAACTCAAAATAAGAAAGAAAAGACATTATTCTACCAAATCGCAGTGACGTACTTCCGGTTAACATGAGATTACACACGTGCCGCCGTTACTAGTCAGTACACTTGGTGAAGCCGTTCGGTGGGGACCGTTTATTGAAGTGGACGTATTTACTACTATTTTTGTCTCAACACCAGGTAATCATTCTTATTTACTTATATATTTCTTATTTCTAAACCTATCTATCGTATTTGATATGTTTTAGATTACCAAAATTGGGTTTATAGTTCGACGGGCGTAATATTGCTTAAACTCTCCCTCGGTGGAGTGAACAAGCCTGCTCATAAGCAAAAGAACGTAAGTCTCTCTCAGTATAGAGCAGTTCAGCGTAAGTCTCTCTCAGTTTAGAGCAGCTCGGCGTAAGTCTCTCTCAGTTTAGAGCAGCTTAAACAAATGCCTTCACAGATAGACACAGAAATATCCAAGCGAAAGCGACGGAAAATCAAAGAAAGTTCGTTTTCTATACGGGGGATAATTTAGAAGGCCATATAAATCGGACGATGAAATASAAATTTCGCAGTTTGTAAGTTTTAACTTACAAATACCAGATTTGCATTTTAGCTTGCACGTTATGCTAATTTACAACTCGAAAATTCCATAGTGTATTCTCGCGAGCCAATGGCTTATAATGTGCCTATTGTTTGCAGATAAAAATGTCAGATCACGAAGGCGACGAGGCCGCGGGAACCTCAAGTTCAGATGCCAGAGAAAACGAAAGACCACTTGACTCAATGCGCTCTATGATGAATGAAATACTCTCGGACTTTAAGGACGAGATGAGACAGGAGATAAGAGATCAGTTTGATGTAATGGCCGGCGAGGAAGAAGATGAAGATAACGAARAGGACTCCAACGCTGATGTACTGACTTCAATGGAAGGATACCTGGGACAAACTACACCAGGCAAACAGGATCCCCAATCCTTAGAAAGCCTGGCAGCTGAGTTYTCAACTTCTGACAAAATTGGACCACCAGTAAATGAACAGCTAGCTAGCATTGTCAATGAACTCCTTAAAGGAAAGCTACCCAGACAAANCACCAATTTTTGTAAGGCCCAAAAAGGAATCAGGAAAATTTCGAGTGATTTTCAATTTAAAAGAGCTAAATGAAGCGGTTACATACCACAAATTCAAAATGGACACCTTGGAGTCAGCAATCAAGCTTATGCAACCAGAATGCTACATGACATCCATAGATTTAAGGGATATATACTACTCCATAGCTATAGCCCCACAACATAGGAAATATTTGAAATTCATTTGGAGGAGCACACTATATCAGTTTTGTGCGCTGCCAATGGGTCTATCCAGCAGCCCGAGAATCTTCACAAAGATCCTTAAGCCAGTGTTTGCAACGTTAAGGACAAATTACGGTCACTCCTGCTTAGGCTATATTGACGACTCGTTCTACAGTGAGGACAGTGTTGCCCATTGTCAAGAGGCAACACTTCACGCTATTAAATTATTCACCGAATTGGGTTTTGTAGTTCACCCTAAGAAATCAGTATTCATCCCAACCCAAAGACTAGAATTTCTGGGGTTCATCCTAAATTCTAAAACAATGACAGTTACCTTGACTGAGGTCAAGATAACTAAGATACTGTCCATGTGTCAACAGTTTATCAACCAAAAGCAATATAGCATCAGAGAAGTAGGGGTCTATAATAGGGACATGAATCTCCACATTCCCTGGGAATGAAACGGGACCTCTACACTACAGTTCGCTAGAAAGGGAAAAAGAATCAGCCTTGCGAACCTGGGGGGGAGACTATGATGCCCCAATGTCACTATCACCAGGGAGCAAAACTCAATTGACATGGTGGTTATGTAACCTTGCTTCTACATTTCGTAAGATTGATCATGGTAAACCAGATATAGTCTTGACAACCGATGCGTCGTTATCGGGTTGGGACCCAGGGATTATGGTCACCAGGGGAACAATCATTCCATATTAACGTTCTTGAATTAGCGGCAATTGAACTTGCCTTAAAAGCACTATTAAGTGAAGAAAGACATAAGCACATCCGAACTATGACCGACAATACAACAGCAGTCAGCTACATAAACTCTATGGGGGGAATTAAGTCTTTAGAATGTGACGAACTCGCAGGTACCATTTGGTCATGGACACTGGAACGTGATATATGGTTATCAGCAGCGCATACCCCCGGGATAACCAATAAGTTGGCTGATAATCTATCGCGACAGTTTAACAAGGAGGTAGAATGGCAACTGAGTGAATCTATATTCATTCAGTTGACAAGGCAATTTGGCTTGCCAGACATTGATCTATTTGCAAGTCGAATTAATCACCAGATTGATGTATATGCAGCCTGGAAACCAGATCCTAATGCTAAGATTATTGATGCATTCTCTGTGGACTGGGGAACATTTAACAATGCTTACCTGTTTCCCCCATTCTGTTTAATTGGCAGGTGTTTACAAAAAGTTCTACTGGATCAAGCATCAGCAATAATTGTTGTACCATTATGGACGACGCAAACTTGGTTTACACGACTACTAAGCCTACTAACCGAATTACCAGTCATGTTTCCAGTGCTGAAAGGCACTCTACATCATCCCACTTATGGGCAGGTTCACCCACTGAGCCCTCGACTCCGTCTGTTGGCATGCAAGATATCAGGAAAACCCTCATTGAACAGAGCATTCCGCCAGACGTTGCCGATATCATCATGGGATCGTGGCGACCAGGTACGCAAAAGCAGTACAATGTACACCTTAGGAAATGGTCAAAATTTTGTACTTCACGGGAAGTTAATCCAATGCAACCGACTGTGAACACAGTGCTTGACTTCCTTTACAGCCTGTATAATGAGAACCTCTCTTATTCATCCATTAATACTGCCAGATCAGCGCTGTCCAATTTCCTGATGGATAAACAGCTGATTCCCTCACAGTACACAATGAACACTCATCCTATTATTACCAGATTCATGAAAGGGGTATTTAACTCAAGAAAACCAACTCCACGATACACAGAGACTTGGGATGTCGATATCGTCTTACACTACCTCGAGCAATTATCTCCTCTAGAAAGACTATCCCTCAAAGAGCTGTCACTAAAATTGGTAATGCTACTAGCCTTGACATCAGGTCAGCGATGCCAGACTCTGTCAATATTGGACACTGCGTTCATGAAGAAAACAGAGCAATATTTCCTATTCACACTGACTGAGCATGTTAAACAGAGCAAACCAGGGAACACAATGACATCATTCTATGCACGGAAATTTACAAACAAGGAACTGTGTGTCTACATGGTACTAGACACATATCTGGAGCGTACGAAGAGTGTAAGGAAGGAAACAAAGCTACTCATCTCATTTGCCAAACCTCACAAAGCGGTGGGGGTGAGTACCATAGGCCGCTGGATTAAAATGGTACTTGAAAGCTGCGGAATTGATACAAAGAAGTTTTCNAATTTTTAATTCATTGAATACCAAATATGGCGAAATAGCGCTACCATTACTCAGGTGTTATCTATATCATTACCTTATATATATGTTTCATATCTGTKCTTGCATGTGCTTTCATCCATTGTGATCCCTGGTTACCAGATCGGAACCACACTAATCTCTTGTAATTTGTATTCGAAATGACTTTTATTGATAGGCTTCCTAYTCCACCCCCAAACATGTGATAATAAAACGTTACGCATTTTTTTCCTTTCATGTAGCCGCTGGTTAGACTGGCTTTGTGTCGATAGAGATGCTTTGACGCTTCAATGAATAAAAAGTGGCCTGAATATCAAAAAGGAAATTAATAGTGTAAAATTATAAAAAAAAGCTCGAAGAAATAACAATGTAGAGAGTTTGGAAAATAATTTGTGCTACCATACCGTTTCCATCTATATCTTTCCCTGGTCCTGTCATTGATGAAGGTGTTCTTCCACTTCCTATCTCCCAGTCAAAGTTATCGTCGCGGTCGTTTTTCCATTCACAAAATGTCCCAGGAAATGTACAATCACCTCAAAATGACATAGGCATGATTTGAATTAAGATATATCGCAGTTTCAATGGATGGGTGGTTGGATAGATATAATGAATAAATAAACAATTATAAATTTAAGCAATGGTACTTTTAGAATAGAATAGAATAGAATACAATCTATTTTATTAGATTCCTGCCTCTTCAATTATCACTAACTTTGATCACTGCAACCACAACAACGCGTTGTATGTCTGGCAGCAAMATATGAAATCCCGCCGTATTCATAACTATATGAAACATTTAAAAGAGATGTATAAATCTTAAAGGCAAGGGCAAGAGACAGCAAGAACCTCTAAAACAATACCAAACCTTGATGTACGATTTATCCGAGATTTCAGCCATTTTCAAGGAAATGTTTCTATGAAAACCTATTCCGACAGTGGTAGTAAATGACTATAAGAAATGGTTATATAACACATGCAAACACTRATTGAAAGACACTCTATGCCATTTCTGAAGCAATCCGAGCAGGTCCCCATAATACAGCATTTGTTGATAGGTACATACCAGTGGTTAGTGGGATAGTGGTAGGAACGGTTGTTTCAAGAATTATAGGTGCATCTTTTGTCTTGTTGCACATTTGTTGACCAAACTGAATGTCATCAATGGCAATGTCGCTTCTCCAACCGTTTATAATGGCTTCGAATTCAATCTTTAAGAATAATGAAATAGACATAAAGAATAAAAAACAATGATAATATTAACAGTGTACCAGTATGGTTGTGTAGCAGTAGCAGTAGCAGTAGAAACTAGTTTTTCCGCGAGAACAATCAGTTAAACTTCATTAAAATACAATCAAAATATTCAAAAACTATATGCTCTTATGAATTTTATACCTGGAATAAAGGTTCTCCGCAGGCAATGTTGATAGTAGCAATACGCCATAAATTCCCCATGTTTCCCTTGCGAATCCAAAGCAAGCGTCTATGTACACCACTACCGTGTCGGTATATTGCAAGTGATCCTATGTGCTGTCCATACATATGATATTTAAACCTTAGACACACCGGGCCTCTYAGCACTGGACTGACTAAAATTGCCTTGTCTCCAGGAATATGAGGTTCAGATGACTCAACAAAAGCGTAATTGCCTATAATTTGATTAATGTAAAATCACCACGTTCATTGTCTACATACTTTCATATGCACGAACAATCATTTTGTTCATGATTTTGTTCAGTTACGGGCGATCTACACWTAAATGGTGTTCTCGTTCCGAAATAACACGTTTTTGCAATGCTTTTGAAAAAAGGAAAAACAGGTTTGGAAATGCTCAGTTTTGGGAAATAGAAAATAAACACTGTCACGTAGATGAAGTTAGCAACATCTCTCTATTTTTGAAAAAATGTACAAATATCAGTGGACGTATTGGTCAAAAAACATAATTCAAGTTTTCTAGTGTAAAACGTACCTTTGCTGTTATACGGTCCTTCAGGTCCTGTTTCTGCACTCGGTGTTTGTTTGTCCAATAAGGTCCAATCAAAATCATCGCGGTCGAGGTCGTTTCGCCACTGACAAAATCCATAATCAAATGAACAGTWTCCTGTTGATAGCAACAATGTCACAATTACAGAGAAACAGTRTGAAGAAGACAAACCACCTTTTCAACGACATATTTTAGCCGTCTGCAAGCTTAGCCGTAAGTTGTAAAGCGAAACAAAGAGAGAAAAAAGATGATTTGATTGATTATTTCCTAGAGCATCTAGCCAATCACTTTTGACTTTTCAAATCATTTTAGTTGTTCAATATTGATAATAATTTACATCTGATTACGTAAAATATTTTTGATGTATTTTTAGTTTTTGAGATACAGTAATCACCATCAAAAATGA